GCGCAAACTGCATCCATTATTGGACGACGTCGGAATCCTAAGAGTTGGAGGGCGACTGGAAAATGCCTTAATCACGTATGAGGCTAAACATCCAATTATTCTTCCCTATCGTCACCACGCTACGGATTTGATCATCTCTCAACATCACCAGAAAACTGGCCATCTTGGGCAAGAGTACGTACTGTCCAGTTTGCATCAATTCTATTGGATAATCAAGGGACGTTCAGCTGTGCGGAGAGTGATCAGTAGCTGTTTCCAGTGTAAAAAACTTGGTGCAGTACGTGGAGAGCAGTTGATGGCCGACCTACCGAAGGAAAGACTGACGTCAGGAGATCCGCCATTCACCTACGTAGGCGTGGACTACTTTGGACCCTTTTATGTACGTCAAGGTCGCTCAAATGTGAAACGCTATGGATGCCTATTTACTTGCTTGGTTATCAGGGCCGTTCATATAGAAGTCGTAAACTCACTTGATACTGATTCCTTCTTAAATGCATTGCGAAGATTCATCAATTTACGAGGATGTCCAACTACCGTTTATAGTGACAACGGGACAAACTTCCAAGCTGGAGATAGGGAGTTACGCGAGTTGTTGAGCGACTGGAATCAAGAATCAATCCACAAGTTTCTTCATCAGAGGAATATTACATGGAAATTTAATCCACCTGCAGCCTCGCACATGGGTGGTGCCTGGGAGCGCACTATCAGATCCGTCCGCAAGATCCTGAGAGCCTTGCTAGGGCAACAACTTGTCTCTGACGAAATGCTCCGAACATTGATGAGTGAAGTTGAAGGGATCTTAAATGGCAGACCGTTGACTCCAGTCAGTAGCGACCCAAAGGACCTGGACCCCCTAACACCAAACCATTTGTTGTTGTTAAGAGCCAACCCAAATTTGCCACCTGGAGTCTTCAGCAAAGAAGAAATGTACAGCAAGCGACGTTGGCGTCAAGTCCAGTACATGGCCGATATATTCTGGAGGCGCTGGTTGAAGGAGTACTTGCCGACCCTTTAAGAGAGAGCGAAGTGGACCAAACCTCGCCGTCGCTTAGCGACCGGAGATCTAGTTGTGATTGCAGACGACAACGTCCATCGAGGAAAATGGCCGTTAGGCAGAGTAACTGAAGTTTTCATGGGAAAAGATGGAAATGTCCGATCAGCCAAGGTGAAAACTGCCACCACAATTCTACAAGGCCAATAACCAAACTGTGCTTCTTAGAAGGAGAGAAGAAAGCTTAAATGAAGAGACTAAATTCAACAGAAAATCCACAGTGTGAAGAATGATCAAGAGGACTTACTCTCGTGTCTGAGTATAGTTACACTATAGTAATGAACTGTAGACTTCACTAGTTCATTAGGGGGGCTATGTAGCCACGAGAGTTAAATTTTTACGTTTTTTGGTCGCCTTTTCTTTTTTGTTTTGTCTTGTTGTTAAAGGTTAATTTCTGCGTACCTTTTTTGGTGCAGTTTTAAAATGCAAATTAGTTTTTTCACGTCGTGTCATGTAATCGTCTACTGTTTATCACGTAACCTCGTTCAGTTAAGTTTATTCTTTTAGTTCAAAATTCCGTTTAAAAGCGTTGTAGTTTTTTAGATGTATTCAGTCGTTGTCAGTTCCGGAGTGCCGTACAGATCTTGTAAGTAATCCCGTTTTTCCTCTCTTTTTTCTGCTGTTTTTCGTATTGTTGTAAGTTTAAGTTCGTATTTATTAATTTCTGTATTTGTTATTTTGGTTTTAAGTGAATCGTTAGAATTAACGACGAATTCGAAACGTACAGGAGTGCTATTTACAGCGACCAAATTTGTTTTACTGGTGACCATACAGAAGGAGGTCACCAAAATGTGATTTCTGAAAACCTTAAGCTTGGAGTATCGTCACGTCACTTGCCCTCCAAAACTTATAATCTATTGCAGTACTTCTGTAATTTGAATTTCCTTAAACATTCTCCCAAGAAACATAACTTCACTTGCCCGAACGACCAGTGAAAGACAGAATCCAATATCCTGATGCCAAATTCCACTACCTGGGCTATCAGAGATGACTTCCCTTACACACTGCAGCAAAAATTAAAGATGGTTGCATCCCTATAATNAGTGAAAGACAGAATCCAATATCCTGATGCCAAATTCCACTACCTGGGCTATCAGAGATGACTTCCCTTACACACTGCAGCAAAAATTAAAGATGGTTGCATCCCTATAATGTAAGACATCACTTACAATTGACTAAGAGGGAAGCAGATTTTCTCTCTCCGGTTCCTAACTCATTTCGTCCATCACAAGAGTATCGCCCAGCACTGCTCTTTTTAACTTGCGCGATTGTCAGTCTCTGTCCATCAGAAATTGGTGTGATGGTATAATCTCCAGAACTGGTAATCTGGATGCCATCCTTAAACCATCTGTACTCCAAGACACCAGGGAATGCGTCTGTATGGCAACAAAATTCTGCATCCCTACCTTCCACCACAGTTTGGTTACTTGACAAACTGTTCGCTTTGTGTTCGGGCTTGACTGCAACAAACAAGATAAACAAGTCAAAGGACATGTTGGTTGAATATTTCTTTTTTACCTTGGCTAAGCACTTAGTAGACTACGGGGTAAGATTACCAATTGCGAGTAAGAGTTCTACGGTTAGGATCATTACTTAACAGGGCCAAATACATTGACGAACCTTGGTTCTCGCCTGACAAAAATCCCAATGGAAAATTACATGACTTTACTTTTGAATTTGCATGTAAGTTACCCAGTAACAAGAAATTTCCCTGCTAATGCCAGTTTGAGTATTGTACCTGACTCAAGATAGCTATATCAAAGTTGCCACCTCATCATCAGCCATTAAACCAAAGTCTAATGTTCTAATGTTAATGTTCTGTACAAGTACAGAACATTAACATAAACCAGTCGATAGGACAATCCAAGAACAAGATAATGTAGGAGGTTATATAAAAGCCAATTTATATTTAACATATTTTTAAGTTAATGTGACAACCATGAAGGAAGATCAGAGAAGTAACAAGTATATAGATCTGTCACGCAATAT